GGGCCGTAATTTTTCCGGAATGTGCGACAACCTGTATATTCTAATTAATTGTGTATGACTTTTCCGACCTTTTTTATACTTTTATTTACATAAACTGAATTTATTATTGAATTATCAAACTATTGACAGTGTAATATTAAATTATCTAAAGGCATTGAAGGTGTGCAAGGCAAATTATTAGAGGTCGGAAACTATCCAGCGTAAGGCGGAGAATATCCTGTGTTCCGGATTCCGTGTACTGGACCTTTTTATTTTACCTGACTTTGCTAGATAGAAGTTTGGTCGATCATTTGTGTTTATCACATGGAAGACAACGTGTCTGAAATGCCTGATTTGAAAACAAAAAAGAAGAAAAAAACTGTTGAAAGTGGAATAATTTACTTAGCAGAATCCCAAATTGATGAATGTAGATTAAGATTTTATTTAAAACTTGGAATTTTAGGGCGGGTTTTTTCCCCCAAACCAGTGGTTTGTATAATATTTTTCGGTGAATTTGGTGGGGGGGTAGTGAAAAAAAAGGGGCAAACTTTTTGTTATTATAATTTTGAAAACGTTGGAAAAAGAGCGGCAAAAAGCAAAGTTGTAAGAGTAGAAATTAGTTGATTCCTTAAGATGAAAAAAATTTTCCTGTCTTTGATGTTGAAGATGGTTTTGGGGGCCCCAAAATACGCCAGGTGCTTAATTAAGGTTTTCAGCGTCCCGTTTAATATTTTTATAGACATGAGTGAAGTGAAGAAGATGGGGGGGAAAAATCCCCCAAATTCGTGCCAAGGAAACTGACTGCTCTATTTTTTTTAAACTGCCCTGAAGTAAAGTGAACATAACTTTTTAGAAAATATATAAGTTGATAAACAAGGATGGACAAAAAAATTTATTTAAAATTAATCCCAATAGTTTTCCCACAGGGTAAAAAATTCAGACTTGGCCGAAATTTTCCAAAAAAGTTTGATAAGTAAATTTTAAAATTAATTTTGAAAAAATTGCTTAAAACTTTTTTAAAAATATTGAAAAAATGATTTTACTTTTTTATTAATAAATATATTTTAAATACAAAATATTAAAAAAAAATAAATAAAACAGTATCTTAAATTTAAATTTTATTGAAATTTTGTCAACAAAGATTGTTCTAAATATAGTACAGGACTCTACTCTAAGTCTAATCAGTTCCCGCGAATGATGTCATACGAGGTCTCGCGTAGCTCCTAAATGTCAAGCCTCAAGGTCGCATGTAGTCGGCGTAATTGATGTTTTTACAGTTGAATAGGCAATTTTAATGACGATATTAATATTTTGATACTTTAAATGGTATAGAATGATATTGAACTAATTGTTTCATCACAAAATGCACCATAATTGATTGGGACAAGGGTATTTGCAAGTGAAAAATAAGGTTAAATCAACTTGAGTTATTCTGGTTAGGTTTCGTAACGGGACTAATCCAAAACTTTAATGCCGCATCAGATGAAAAACAAAAATATTAAAAAGTGGCTTATAAAGCCAGAACTACGCCACGGCCACCGAGGCCAGTGAGTCAAATAGACCACAGTTAAAAGCTATCAGCAAAAATATTCTGACTTATGTTTGTGACTAAGGGACAGGGGGACTGTACTTAGGCAGACTGTAAATTAGGACAGGACAGAGTCGTTGACCCTGCTTGAGACGAGGTGGACCTTGCATTTGTCAAATCCTGTATTACTAATACTATTAGCAGTTCATTATTTTTTAACAAAATTAATGTATCTGAAAAAAAAGCCAGCAGACGAGCTAATTAGATCATGGTTATTCAGATTGTCAAGCAGGCTTTTTTTAACAGTCCTATTTACTGTTTAACCTTAAAATGTATTTGTTAATAAATATGTTGTTGATAGCAACACATTAAATGACATTAATTATTTTACACAATTATCAACATCATTATAGTTTTATATATATTTTTTCCAGTAAAGGCTAAAGCAAGAGGGAAGAGGGGACGAATATTTTCAGAAGGATGGCTTGAATTTCGTGATAAGCGGGTAGCAAAGAAGGTTGCTGCAAGCTTGAACAATACCCAGATTGGAGGTCAGTTTAATGATTTAAATGTTTCACAGTGATTTACTGTATTCATGTTAAATCCATCGATTTCCTAAATAGAACTCCAAAAATGAAGGTCATTTATACAATCTTTTTCAGGTATTGTATTTAAACTATGACAATTATAAAGTGTACACTTCAGATAATGATTTTTAGTGTTATTTTGCTTAAAAATTCAATGGAAGTATGGTCATTTTGGTAGCCTTGATTAGTACAAAGTATGTATACTTGGTTACCAGGATTCGTACAAAAAAGGAAAATATTTTTTTTATATGTACATTGTAGATAAGGAGATATTTTAATTTTCATCAAGAAGATATTTTATTTTTCATCATTTCCAGTGGGATAGAGCACATTGATAAGCAGAAAACTCCTCTCTTCTTAAAAGTCACTAATTATATTGTCAAAAAGAGAGTAATTCCTAAATTTCTGGAAACATTCAGTTTGTGAACTTAAAATTTGTTTGCTGTAAGCCATATAAGTTTATTTTTGCAGTTGTTGCAGTGTTGAAATGTAAAATTGAAGTTAAAAGGTTACATATTCATTAGGAAGTGTGACAGTGTGTGTGGGTTTTTTAGCTCACCTGTCACAAAGTGACAGGGTGAGCTTTTGTGATCGCTTTTCGTCCGTCGTCCGTCCGTCCGTCGTCCGTAAACTTTTACTTTAAATGACATCTCCTCATAAACCACTAAGCCAATTTCATCCAAACTTCACAGGAATGTTCCTTTGGTGGTCACCTTTAAAAATTGTTCAAAGAATTTAATTCCATGCAAAACTCTGGTTGCCATGGCAACCGAAAAAAAATACTTTAAATATCTTCTTTTAAAAAACCATAAGAGCTAGAGCTTAGATATTTGGCATGAAACATCTTCTAGTGAGTGTCTACCAAGTTTGTTCAAATAAAAGCCCTGGGGTCAAAATTGGCCGCCCCTCGGGGGGTCATTGATTTTCCCTATATGCATATAGTAAAAACTTAAAAAAATCTTCTTTTTAAAGAACCCAAAGAGCTAGAGCTAAGATATTTAGCATGAAACATGTTCTAATTGGTGTCTACGAAGTTTGTTTCAAATAAAAGCCCTGGGGTCAAAATTGGCCCCGCCCCGGGGGTCATTGATTTTCCCTATATGCATATAGTAAAAGCTTAAAAAACCTTCTTTTAAAGAACTCAAAGAGCTAGAGCTTAGATATTTGGCATGAAACATCTTTTAGTGAGTGTCTACCAAGTTTGTTCAAATAAAAGCCCTTTGGGTCAAAATTGGCCCCGCCCCCGGGGGTCATTGATTTTTCCCTATATGCATATAGTAAAAACTTAAAAAATCTTCTTTTAAAGAACCCAAAGAGCTAGAGCTAAGATATTTAGCATGAAACATGTTCTAATGGGTGTCTACCAAGTTTGTTCAAATAAAAGCCCTTGGGGTGAAAATTGGCCCCGCCACCCCGGGGGTCATTGATTTTCCCTATATGCATATAGTAAAAACTTAAAATCTTCTTTTAAAGGACTCAAAACAGCTAGAGCTTAGATATTTTGGCATGAAACATCTTTCTAGTGTGTGTCTACCAAGTTTGTTCAAATAAAAGCCCTGGGGTCAAAAATTGGCCCCGCCCGGGGGGTCATTGATTTTCCCTATATGCATATAGTAAAAACTTGAAAAATCTTCTTTTAAAGAACCCAAAGAGCTAGAGCTAAGATATTTAGCATGAAACATGTTCTAATGGGTGTCTACCAAGTTTGTTCAAATAAAAGCCCTGGGGTGAAAATTGGGCAATCCGGTCAACTCGTCCCCTAGTCAACTCGTCCTCTGGTCAACTCGTCACCTTTTTGGTCAACTCGTCCTCAAAGAGTCAACTCGTCCCTAATATGGTCAACTCGTCCCCTACGTTCGATCTATTCGTCACTATTATGTTGTAAATCAATGTCTTTAAATAGAACTTTTTATGTAAAATTAATAATGAATTTGATTGATATCGAAATATTAATAAAATAACGTCTTTTTTACGTTAAATTTTAATGATCTTTATCTAAGCGCACGTGCATAGCTTTGATGTAAAACTACAAAGACAGTTAAGTTTGTAAACATTCAATTAATGTTTAATTAATCGGAGTTTTTAATGATAATTAAAACTAAAATTAGGTCCAACTCTTTGATTTTACCTCCTCCCTGAATGGATTAAAGACTGACGACAGATTAACAGAAATTGGGAGTGCTAAAAACTTTTATGTCGGTGCGTATTGATCTCATTATAGAAGGATCGTGTCAATTAAAAACATGATAATTGTTTGTTGTGAAATTGTCAATTGTTTCTGATTTTTTAAAATTGCATTTCATTGTAATATTATGGTCCATTATCATAGGAGTTGTATAAACATACATGCCTTTTGAAAGAGTTAGTATTTATTTATTTTTTCATTATTTTTTTTTAAATAAAAAATCCGTACAATAATATTTGCCTTGGATATTAACTAATTGAAAACATAAAGTAATTACTAAATATTCAATTGCCATCTAATAATTAGTAAAGATTAATATTAAATTTCCATAAATAAATCTTTAAACTGATCTCAAAGAGGAGCTGTATAAAACCGAGTTCCAGAATTTCTTGTATAATACAAGTCAACATATTGAATGTATTAATTGTAATGAATTCAACATTTTCATATATTTGACCATACACCATCAAAAACAAAATTCGACATTTGGAAAATAAAATTTTATAACAACCTTTGGCACTATTTTCAAGCGATTTGTATAATTTCAAATTAAAGACACACGTTCTTTAAATATATAAATACGTATCCAACCACAGAGGCAAATGTGTCTTTAATCCTATATTCAAATTACTATATGTTTACTTTAATAACCAAAGGCACGTGTCATGATATATTTAATTAACAACAAATAAAAACTCCAAATATTCGCATACAAAAAGCGTCAAAATATATCCAATTTAGTAATTTTATAATGTATTATTTTAACAGTCTATAATAATTTATGAAATATATGAAAAACAAATAATAATAAAATATAGGGGACGAGTTGGGGACGAGTTGACCAGGAGACGAGTTGTCCAAGGGACGAGTTGACCAAAAAGGTGACGAGTTGACCAGAGGACGAGTTGACCAGGGGACGAGTTGACTCTGAATCAAAATTGGCCCCGCCCCGGGGGGTCATTGATTTTACCTATATGCATATAGTAAAAACTTAAAAAATCTTCTTTTAAAGAACTCAAAGAGCTATGGCTAAGATATTGAGCATCAAACATGTTCTAATAGTTGTCTACCAAGTTTGTTCAAATACAAGCCCAGGGGTGAAAATTGGCCCCGCCCCGGGGGTCATTGATTTTCTTTATATGTGTTTAGCAAAAACTTTAAATCTTCTTTGAAAAAACCCAAATAGCTAGAGTTTAGATATTAAGCATGAAACATCTTCTAGTAAGTGTCTACAAAGTTTGTTCAAATAAAAGCCCTGGGGTCAAAACTGGCCCGGCCCCAGGGGTGTCATTGTTTTTAACTATATGAGTATAGTAAAAACTAAAAAAATCTTCTTTTAAAAAGCCCAATGAGCTAGAACTTAAATGTTTAGCATGAAACATCTTCTTATGGGTGTCTACCTAGTTTGTGCAAATAAAAGCCCTTGGGTTTAATTGGCTCTGCAACGTTGGGGGAGTGGGGTTTGGGGGGCCTATATACAGGTGAGCGACCTCAGGGCCATGATGGCCCTCTTGTTTTTTTTTTGCCATATTGTTGACAGCAAGTGTTATTGTTGTTATACATGCTGAACTATAAGAATAAAAATCCTTAGATTTAATTCTTTTCTCTGTGGTTTTCAACATTAGCAAAGTTTAAACAAAGATACCAGATCAATTATGAATTACAGATTATGTTTATTCAATTTTTTACAGGCAAGAAGAAAAACAAATGGAGGGAAGAGTTATGGAACATGAAATATCTTCATAGATTTAAATGGACTCATTTAAACGAGAGACTTGCATACGAAAAGGCTGTTCATTCTCAGAGAATGCGAGCAGAAATATCACAAGCTAAACGCGAAGCAAACTTTCATATTCAAAATGCAGAAAGAAATCAAAGACTGAAAAAAATAGAAAAGAAGCAAAAGAGACTAAAGGAAGCCAAAGAAGATGGTGAAAATGGAGACAATGAGACATTAAATGAAGAAAAGGATGATAATGAAAGAGTAAATGTGATAAGGTTAAAAGAAACAGAAGATGAGATAAATAAAAGAAAATCTAAAAATAAATTTATTTTAGATGGAGCTAAAAAACAAAGACTAGCGAGGGATGGCACAGCTGTGAAAGACCCAGGAAAAAAGAAAGCATTTTTATCAAAGATATTTTCTGCTGGGTGTGATGTAAATAGTGATGAAGATTAAATCTAATTTTGATCAATTGAATTTCAACATTTTGTTGGGCAATTCCCCAGTCCATATTAAAACAAACAATTTTCCCTCCTGTGCTTTTCTACAATGGACAATACCCTGCTTATATTTATACCCCCAAAAACAAAGTTTGGGGGGGTATATAGGAATCACCCGGTGGTCGGTCGGTCGGTCGGTCGGTCGGTCCAGACGTCCGTTGCATATTCGTCCGGAGCATAACTTGAAAACTAATGGTTGGAATTCAATATAACTACATACAATGGTCAAGCACATTGAGAGGAAGTGCAGTGCACAAGAACCATAACTCTATCTTGACTAATTACAAAGTTATTGCCCTTTGTTACTTTTCCTTGTCCGGGGCATAACTTGAAAACTGCTGGTTGGAATTCAAAACAACTTCATACAATTGTCAAACACAATAAGGGGAAGTGCAGTGCACAAGAACCATAACTCTATCTAAAGTAATTACAGAGTTATTGCCCTTTGTTGCTTTTCCATTGCTTTTTTTTTTGTCCATTGCATTTTCTTGTCCGGAGCATAACTTGAAGACTAATGGTTGGAATTCAATATAACTACATACAATGGTCAAGCACATTGAGAGGAAGTGCAGTGCGTAAGAAACATAACTCTATCTTGACTAATTACAGAGTTATTGCCCTTTGTTACTTTTCCTTGTCCTTGGCATAACTTGAAAACTACTGGTTGGAATTCAAAACAACGTCATACAATTGTCAAACACAATAAGGGGAAGTGCAGTGCACAAGAACCATAACTCTATCTAAAGTAATTACAGAGTTATTGCCCTTTGTTGCTTTTCCATTGCCTTCTTTTTTTGTCCAGACCATAACTTGAAGACTAATGGTTGGAATTTAATATAACTACATACAATTGTCAAGCACATTGATAGGAAGTGCAGTGCATAAGAACCATAACTCTATCTAAAGTAATTACAGAGTTATTGCCCTTTATTACTTTTCCATTGCTTTCTTTTGTCCGGACCATAACTTGAAGACTTATTGTTGGAATTCATTATAACTTCATACAATGGTCTAGCACATTGAGAGGAAGTGCAGTGCACAAGAACCATAACTCCATTTTGACTTATTACAGAGTTACTGCCCTTTGTTTCTTTTTCTTGTCCAGAGCATGACTTTAAAACTACTGGTTGGAATTCAAAACAACTTCATACAATGGTCAAGCACAATAAGGGGAAGTGCAGTGCACAAGAACCATAACTCCATCTTGACTAATTACAGAGTTATTGCCCTTTGTTACTTTTCCATTGCTTTCTTTTGTCCGGACCATAACTTGAAGACTTATTGTTGGAATTCATTATAACTTTATACAATGGTCCAGCACATTGAAAGGAAGTGCAGTGCATAAGAATCATAACTCCATCTTGACTAATTACAGAGTTACTGCCCTTTGTTACTTTTCCTTGTCCAGAGCATGACTTGAAAACTAATGGTTGGAATTCAAAACAACTTCATACAATGGTCAAGCACAATAAGGGGAAGTGCAGTGCACAAGAACCATAACTCCATCTTGACTAATTACAGAGTTATTGCCCTTTGTCACTTTTCCTTGTCCAGAGCATAACTTGAAAACTACTGTTTGGAATTCAGTACAACTTCATACAGTTGTCAAGGACATTAAAATGAAGTGCAGTGCACAAGAGCCATAACTCCATTTTGACAAAATACAGAGTTACTGCCCTTTGATACTTTTCCTTTTCGGAGCATAACTTAAAACGTACTGGTTGGAATTCAAAACAACTTCATACAATGGTCAAGCACAATAAGGGGAAGTGCAGTTCACAAGAACTATAACTCTATCTTCAGTATTTATAGAGTTATTGCCCTTTGTTCTTTTTCTTTCTTGACTTATTACAGAGTAATTCAATTAAACTTCATCAATGGCCAATCACATTGAAAGGAAATGCAACATACATGAACCACAATTATCTCTAATTGCCCACAACCACAACTCTATGTATCAATTCTTTTACAAGGTATTCTGTTACTAGTAACATCCTCATTTCCAAAGCAGACTTGTGGGGGTATTAATCACATTTAGTGATGGTTCTAGTTACACTAGAAATTTTTGTAAACCTTAAAGAGGCATACTGTACTACTTTAACTAATGTTTTACCTCTATTTGATGGGGGTGGGATCTGTGGCCAAGTGGTTATTGTTGTTGGCTTCAAACCACTTGCCCCTTACCACTGTCGGTTTGATTCACACAAGGATTCTTTGGATTCCTTCATGTGAGAAAGCTATCCAGCTTGCTTATAGATCATCAATCAATGGTTCTACTCAGGAGCCTGTTTGAGTTTGAAATTATGAACGGAAAGCAACCTAAGGTCTTTCTCCATCAGTAAAAGCTGGAAGTCGCCATATGACATTACCTTGTACTGTGTTGGTGCGACATAAAACCCAACAAAAACACAAAAAAAAAACTCCATTTGAAAACCCGTGTTAAACAGGTTAACATTCAAATATGCATGAAATTATTGAAATAGGCTGGGATTTTATTTATTTATCCACTTTCAACTAACACTAGAATCAAGAAGAACAACAAATTACATGATTATGTATACATTTATTTGGAAATATAAAGCATGGCTAAATTCTATAGACAATCTAGATTCTACACATACATGTATATATAATTTCAAACTAACGAGTCTAGACTCTGAAATAATATTATGTGCTTGTCTATGTAGAAAAAAATAAAATTATGAAAAATACTTTGAAATTCTTTCTTCTAAACCCATACTGTGCTTAAGGCTTATAATGGGCTTACCCAACTTTAAATTTGGAACAGTCCAATCATAGTTCAAGGTCATTCAGTTGCAGAATTGAACAGAACAGAACAGCAAATATAATAGACTCATTAGTTATGTCAGACTGCACAAAAACTAACCAGTAGCCTGGCATGACCATAAAGGTAGCATCAGTTTATACTAACTGTCACAAGATTCTATATAATTTCATTAAAGGTGCATTATGCCTCAGAAATCCCTATTTTCTCAATTCTTGTTAAATGTTAAACATGTGTTTAGTAATGTTTTGACAGTTGTTTAGGAGTATGTTAAATGTTCAACAAGTGAAAAAAGTAGCGCTGAACATGCAGTTATGTGTCGCAAAGATAGCAAAATGTAAACAAAGTAGTATTTTGACTTTCATACAAAAAACTAATTCACTATGATTATACAAATTATGCCAACATAACAAAATCAGCAGAAGATAGTTTATGTATATGGCAAATGAGCATTTTTTGGAAACTTTTAAAATATACCAACAAGAGCTGTCGGTAGGACAGCACACTCGACTATTCTAAGTGCTTGATAGTAAAAAAATGCTTGATACAGTTACCTCCTCCTGTTTACAGGTTGGGGTAATGATGGTGAACAAGTGTGCAAAGTTTCAAAGCCATATGTCAATGGACTTTGAAAATATTTTAACTATTACAAAAACTTAAACGTAAATTCTAAGTCGAAAAAGGGGCATAATTCTGTCAAAATGCTTGATAGAGTTACCTCCTCCTGTCTACAGGTTGGGATCAGGATGGTGAACAAGTGTGCAAAGTTTCAAAGCCATATGTCAATGGACTTGGAAAATATTTGAACTATTACAAAAACTTTAACGTAAATTCTAAGTCGAAAAAGGGGCATAATTCTGTCAAAATGCTTGATAGAGTTACCTCCTCCTGTCTACAGGTTGGGGTCATGATGGTGAACAAGTGTGCAAAGTTTCAAAGCCATATGTCAATGGACTTTGAAAATATTTTAACTATTACAAAAACTTTAACGTAAATTCTAAGTCGAAAAAGGGGCATAATTCTGTCAAAATGCTTGATAGAGTTACCTCCTCCTGTCTACAGATTGGGGTCATGATGGTGAACAAGTGTGCAAAGTTTCAAAGCCATATGTCAATGGACTTTGAAAATATTTGAACTATTACAAAAACTTTAACATAAGTGGTTACGCCGACGCTGACGCTCGGGTGACTGCAATAGCTCTACTTATTCTTATCGAATAGTCGAGCTAAAAATAAAACAGTTTTTGAGAAATAAAATGATGGTTAGTTCTGAGGCATAATGGGTCTTTAAATAGGCATATATTGTAACAGAAAATGGCAAGGTCTTTATTTCTTTGATTAAACCAATCAATAAATAAACTAGAATGAAAGTAATACTGTAGCAAAATTGACTAGGTGAAATCAAGAATGATTTACCGCGGATTAAACCTAGAATATACCAGTTAAATTGGGTTATGTAAAAACAAACTTAAAATAAATATGGTTTATGCATAATATATAAGTGAGGACTAGTGCAGAAAATTAAAATAAAGGTAAGCACAATTTGTATATAAGTTTCAAGATTCTTGTGTTATTTTTTAGACTAGTGCAGAAAAAAAACAAAACAGGAACATAATCAGTAAGGAAAGCTTTAACAAACAAAATGTACACACAAATCTTATAATAAAGCAACTATCCATCAAATATATAAGGGAATTCATGAACACTACACAATATTTTACTCTTTAATAGATTTTCAAAATATTTATGAAAATTAGCAAGTATCTGGAGGCGTGCTGCTTTAAAGAAAATGAAACACTACATGTATATAACTGTCAAAATATACAACAATAAAAATTGCACAACTTATATGATACACTAGTATTCCTTTCTCAAAAGAGATTGACACAAGAGTCCATATCGTCCCCTTTGTGCAGTAATTGATCAACCTCTTAATAATTAAGAAGTAAATTTATCGCAGCTAACCCAATACTGCACTAAGTTGGTGATATCTGTAATTTAATGCCCCATATTAAACAGGATGAAATTATTCCTAACAAAAAAAATCCATTTACATTGAAAGACAAGTTTGTCAATAATTCCACATCCCAGATTATAATTAAAAACATATATCTTTTATTATTTAAGGTACTTTGCCTATAATGATATAAGAATCCAAAAATAGAATAGGTGACCTGGGGGTGTATCTTTTGTGTGGTAGGGTGCCTGTGCTGAGGTGCATGTGTGGGTTGTTGCATGCAAGAGGGTGAGGGTGGGTGGGTTTTGGGTGTGTGTAAGCAGTTGATAT